GGGGGGAGAGACAGGGGAGGGCAGAGGAGGAGAGAGGACGAAGACGCGCGGTCTTCCGGACGGCGGCGGCGGCAGCAGTGAGCGGGGCCCGAGCCAGCTGCGTCGACTGGGCGCCGAGGGGCGTGAAGAAGTCTACAAGGCGCGGCTCGCGGATGCTCGGGACTGCGAGGGTGGGAGGACGCGGTGGTCAGCAATCGACCTCGACAAAAAGCAGCATGAGGAGGGACGGGATACGGGGCGAGTGCGGGGAAGGGCGGAGCGCACTCGCAGCGACGGCGGCCCACACGGAGGCGCGGAGTCCGGAAATGGAAGAAGAGGAGAGGGGGGGGAATCCAGGACAGCTGACGAGCAAAGGTCTCTCCAGAGAGGAACAGGGACGGGGCAAAAGGAGGGCGAACGGGAGAGGGTGAATGGGGATGGGGGGGGGGGGGAGGGGAGGGAGGAGACCTGTGCAAGGGGCTTCGGACGTGCCGGCCTGTGCACCGGGGGCCGTTCAGTCGCCCCGGTAGCCAGCCCAGAGGAGCATGTTCGGCAGGACCCCCCCCCCCCCCCCCCCCCCCCCGTCAGCCGGAAGAAGCGGCACTCCGGGCAGAGGGGCGCCGCGGAACCGGCCGTGCCCGCACGGCGGCCAGCGTGCCTCTAAAGTGCAGCCAGGTCAGGGCGTGGGGCACGGACAACATGTGTGCCTGCCCCCCCCCCCCCCCCCCCCCCCGGAGGCGCGTGCCGGCCAGCCCCCTCTCTGGTGCTGCCTCGCGGGGGCCCCGGGACCGAGTCGAGAAGGCAAATGTTGGGGGCCGGTGGGCATCTGACTCTTCAGAATGCGGGAGCAGGGTTTATCTTGACTTGCATTGGGAACTCGAGTTCGTTCATGAGTCACAGTTTGAATCGCACCTAAACCCATGCTGGAGAGCGGGGGCCGGGCCGCCGGCCTCAAGATGAACACCCAACTGATCATCACCGCCCTCGGTTAAGCCAGAGCGAGGAAGGCGATCAAGGATGCGCCAGGGTGTCCTGCGTTGGTATTTCGCCGGCATGTGATAGGCGGAACGGTATTTTGTCCTGAGCGTGAGGGATTTGCGAGGGATTTGGCCCGCCCGCCGAAAAAGGGAGGCGATGGGCGGTGAACATTCTGAAGGCCACTTCTCGGCCCCGCCCCCCGCGGCCGTGGGGGGCGCGCGTGTGGGGGCGGCTGCCGGCATCTGATGGCGTGAGGGCGGGGACCTTTCGCCCCCTGTCCTCTCTCTCTCTCTCTCTCTCCCTCTCTGCATGCTTATGTATGCGCCCCCGCGGGAGGCGTTCCATTTTTCTCTCCCGGGGCCAAGCCCCCTCCGCTGGTGCGCGCGGTGTGGGGGCGCCGCGGGGCCGGGGGCCGGGGGCGGGGGGCGGGGGGTGCCAGTCGTCTCTGCACGCAGGAGCACCGCGGAAGGCAGGCCTCGGGCCCAAAGGGCGGAAAAGGAGTCATACTTTATTCGGGACACATTTGCACCGATGCCCGGGCCGAAAAAAAGAGGGCCCGGTGGCCGGCTATCTCGGCTTGGCCCTTTGGTGGTCCTGCTGCAACCGGACGGGTCCTCTCTGCCAGGTGGTGCGGTGGCGCGCCGATTGCGCTTGTGCTTCCAACGGAGCGCGCCTCGGGCCGGCGGGGGGCAGGGTCCGGGCCGGAGGGACTTGTGAAAGTCTGCCCGAGGGGCCGGGGCGGCCAAATGCCAAGGGCGTAGGCGCGATGCGCCCGCGCGATGGCCAGGTTGTTCTCCACCCAGGCCCACGCCCAGGGCTGCGGCCGGCCCTCCGTGACGTCCTCTCTCTCTCTCTCTCTCTCTCTCTCTCTCTGTCCCGTGGACTTCTGGTCTCCCTTTCTCCATCTCTCGTCCTCGGGCTCTTTCCGTGCATTCCCGCCGGTCCCTTGGTCCATCTCTCTTCACCCCCGGTTGGAGGATTCCCAGCCACGGCAGGGATGCCGGGAAGTGCGCCCCAGCAAGGCGTCGACAAGGGAGGGGCGGAAAAGGAAGAAAAAGACGCCGCCAACAGCACTCGCTCCCTGCCCTGTGGGCAGGGTGCCCTGCCCTTCGGGTCGCCCTGGGCGCCAAAACCCGGCGCTCCTCCATTGGCAGGGGACTTTGCCCGGCCCCGGGTCCCCTGCCTTCACGGCCCCTCCCTCGGGAGTTGATTTCTCTCCCTCGCCGCTGGGGCTCCGCGGCAAGGTGGTTACTGTTGCGCGCGAGTCTCTTTTTTTCGCCCCCCCCCTCTCGCCCCAGCCCCTCGTCGAGCATGTCGATCACACATTGGCCTGAGATTGTGTGCCGGTCCTCCCCCACTTGCCTGGGGCCAAGTGTCCATGATGCTCCCCGGGCTCGGGACCGGGGCCGCCCCGTGTGAGGCCCAGCTTCGGGGGGGGGGAGCCCCGGCCCAGCCGGCCCGGCGCTCGGGCCGGTGCTCGCCACGCGCAGGGGGCTCGCGATCTGGCAGGCCGCGCGGCTCCCTGCCAGAGACCTGCTGGCAGGGCGCCCCCGCCCCCGGAACGAGCGACACCCCGGACCGCGCTTTTGCTTTCGCCATCGGCCTTGGCCGGCCATACTTGTTTCACTTTTCTCTCGTCGGGGGCCTCGTTGGGCCAGGATCTATTCCCCCCTCCAGCGGCCCGCCCCCCTCCGGCTCCTGCCCCGCGCGTCTTGCGGGTCCCGTCACACAATGTCGCCCGCCTTCCGGCCATTCCGAGCGGAAGCAGCATCTGCCCTCGGTCGTCCGCGCACCGGCGAATTCAAGGGCGAGATCCATATCCACCGGCCGCACGCTGGCCTCCCCGCCACAGCCAACGCCCTTCTTCCCCCCTCCCGCGCCCCATCACCCTCCTCCCCCCTCCCCCCTGATCTCCCTCCCTGCTAGTCCCCTTCGGAAGCCTTCTCCTGTCTGTCCCTTCCACCGCGTCAGTGCCGTTCTCCCGTTTTCTCCCCCCGCGTCCGGCCGGCCCTCCCCTCCGCACTCCCCACCCCCTTCCTTTCTCCTGCCCCCATTCATCCAGGCATGGGCTACGACGGGTCCTCTGCCCAGGCGAGCCCGGCTGTGCCGGCAGCCACCCCGCCCTTGCACCCCCCGATGCTGGGAGATGGCGACACTTCCATTTCCTTGAACGAGCAAATGTACACCGCTCTGTCGATGCCGGTGTCGCCGAGCCAGGCCGATGTCTCCTCGCCGGCAGTGCCCCCCGACACCGCCATCCCGGCGGCCCGCTCCGGCGCCGCCCCGGCTGGCGACGCGCCTCCCGCTCGCAAGCGCGAGGCCGTTGTCGATGTACGCTCCATCTTCACCGGCTTATTTCTTCTCTCTCTCTCTCTCTCTCGCTCCCTCCGTTCCTCCGCCTCTTTTCCCGTGTCGGGCTCCCATCGCCCATCGCCCATCGCCCATCGCCCATCGCCCATC